TCTAAAGGAAAAGCATTTAAGGCTGTAAATTCTCCCCTAGAGACTTCAATTGATATTGATATGCAATATTTTCATTGTCATTCAGTTTTAAGGTTTTTTTTTTTAATTTCCAGTATGATTTCACTTTGATTCATGTGTTATTTGTTAAAAATCAAAATTCCACTGAGTAAATTTTAAAGATCTTATCGGCTTTATTCAGTGATTTGTGAGTTGACCAGCATACAATCCAGCAAAGAGAAAAGAGCTCTGAGGAGCTGTAGGAGGTGAGAGATTTTATAGGTAGGAGGAGCAGGAAGAAGGGAGCTGTACTGGCTTTGGTCATTGCAAGGTCATTTCCTCCAGGGAACTATGGGAGTCTATCAGGCAGATTTCCTAACTTGTGCTCTTTAGACGGCTCCTCACTGACTGTTTAAAATTGCATTTCTGGGAGAGCTGAAACTGTCATTAAATTAAGCCTTGGATTGGTGATTCGGGGCTTAGCATAAGCAATTCCATTTTGGGCCTGTTGTCTTGTCTTTGACATGTTTAAATGTGTGTGCATCATTTAACAATTTCTAAATGTGCATGTGGTTTTGACTTAATTTTCTTTGTTGTGTTAAGGTCCAAGTATGTGTTATTTACAATGAAAAGTCTTTGAAATTCATTGGAGCTTGTTTAATGGTTTAATATATAATCAATATTTATAAATACTCAATGGATGCTTAAAAAATGTGTATTCTCCAATTATTTGGTGAAATGTTCAATACATTTCCATTAGACAGGCTTTTAATATCATTATTCAGATCTTCTATATCCTTATTGATTTGTGCATGATTTATCAAATATTGAGAAAAGTGTATTAAAATCACCCCCTATCATGCTTAGTTATCAGTTTCCTCTTGTAGTTCTTCTATCGTTTTTTAAAGTATGTATTTAAAATTTACACTACTGGCTGTAATCAAGTTTAGAATTGCATTACCCTGCAGAACCGATTACCCTTCTTTTTGGTAAAATTTAGGTGTACGTGTCTGATCACAATATTGCTGCACCAGCTCTCTTTTGATTGGTATTTGTTTGATAAATCTCTTTCCATCATTTTGCTTTCAATCACTCTATAGTCTCATGTTTTAGGTGTGCCTCTTAAACAGAAGATAGCTGGATTTTGCTTATTTATTGTATTACAATCCTTGTCCTCTAGCTGGAGAATTAGGTACAATTCTGTTTATTGTCATTTTCTAATATTTCATTTTTTTCTCTTTCCTTATCTTTCTTTAGATCATCTTTTATTTAATTCTAGTTTTTTTCCTCTTTGAAAGGTTTGACCTTATGCACTCTATTTCTACTCCTTTAGTGGTTACACCAGTCATTTTTACATGTATAATTAATTCAATAAAGTCTAAAATTAGGATTATTATCTTCCTTTCCAACCACATAAGTAAGCACTTGAGAGTATTACCACTCTCTCAAGTTACACACCGCCACCGTCCAGTGGTTTTATGGATATTTTTTATCCCCATACATTTTTAAGTCAATGTGTGCTTAGATTTACCTATGTTGCTACATTCTTTGCTTACCACTCCTTCTTACATATCAGGTCTTCTATCTAGTATCATTTTGTTTCATAAGTTCATTCTCAAGGAGTTCCTTTAGTGAGAATCAGGTGGTAATAATTCTCAGTTTTTGTTGGCATAGTCTCACTGGGATCACTTTCCCATAAATTTTTAACTTGGGAGTTTTGGGGCCACACAATTAGTATAAATCCTAGCCCTACATCCATCTGAAGTCCGGCCTGATCATGAATTTTCACTGGAAGCTTTTTGGTGTAAATTTACCAGCCTGAGGAGCAGTGGGGTTTGAGTTTTGTTTTTCTTTTTTCTAGCTCATCTTTTCACTGCAGATGTTTCTTTTCAGAGGTCTCACTTTGGGGAGGAATCTCTGATCTGACTTTTCTTTCACCTTGCTCTGGACCAGGCTTGGTGTGAAGTCCTTGGCACTTCCAAGTCCTGCTAAGATTGAGACCCCCTGGGTTTGGTGAGCCTCCTGGGATAGGTAGATGCCCCTAGGGCAACACCATCTTCAGCAGCCACATACCTTTCTGGATTCCTGGCTATCCATGTTTTTGGCCTCTGAGGTTTTCCTTCACTCTCTTGCTGGCTCAATGGTGCATTTAAAGGGCCTTTAAACAATACTTTATCACGCATTTATAAGTGTTGCATACAAGGACAGCTTTCAAGGATCTACGCTGCGTCGTGCCAGAACCAATGCATTCTGCTCTTCATAACTTATACACGGCAGCCAGGAGGACTACTGTCTCCTCCATCCCTATAACTCTCCAAACTGCACGACTCTGGACAAACCTCAGCTATCTGAGTTTCCTTACCTGGGGGTCTTTGTTAGATCCCTTAAAAGAGAAATCTTCCCAAACTTGCATAACCTCCTTCTGGGAAGATATTTCACATTCTTGATAAGACTCTTAAATTTTTGGTGGACTTTAATGAGATTAAGACTTCTTTTAGGAAACACACACTCTTGACTATCAGCTGAAAGTCAGAGTCTAAAAATAACTTCCACTATGCATTTTTTTCTTTTGTGTATTCTCTACATCCATTCTTTTTTCTTGTAAAATACCCCTAGGAAGAGTGAATCTTTGAATTGACTTCGCACAGGGATTTTTTTCTCTTGCAACAAGATAGAATTAAAACTATGATATATGCTCATAACTGAATAGTCTAAAAAGTTTTTATTAACAAATCTTTAATTTTTAAAAAAATTTAAGTGAATTACCTTTGTTTTCAACGTTCAGCACTAAGTTTAGAGACACTATAAACAAGTCAGACATCTTATTTTCTACTGGTAACAGGGTATTCTTGAACTGCAAGGATCTACTGTTACCGTTCAAAGGAACTTTTTCTCTTTAAAATTTTTGTGCAAATTGGAAAACAGAACCTAGTTTGAAAAGCTTAAATACAAATGTTAACACCAGGCATATGAGTTTAACTTTCATTTCCTGCTGATTTGCAAATTTGGGGATTATTCTGGCCAAGGCATTCCCTACCACCACCAACATTCATTATTATGTTAAATAAAAGAAATGTATTAAATTTTTAATGCACATGGCTGCATATGAAGAAATTGAGACCTGGCTACATGAAAAAAGAAAAGACTTTTCTAATCATTTTACTTTATTGTCGATTATGTAAGGTGGAAATAACATTTTGGTAATTTAGCTGAAAAGTAATAAATATTACTGGAGTGTTAGAAGATCTAGATTTCTCACAGAATGAATTTTAGTAAACCACCTTTCTATGCTTCAGTCCTTTCTGTAAAATGAGGATAATGGTAACTCAGCACTTGAGTCCAAATGAACTGGGTTCAAATTCCAGTACAGACACTCTCCAGTGGTTTTCACTTAAGGAGCTAAACTCCTTATGCTCATTTATGGGGTAATTACTCCCATATTTCAGGGCTGTTGTGAGGATTCAGTAGTGTCTGCAACATGCACCAAGAAAGTAAAGCACAGAGATGGAGAGAATACTTTTGAAGGTCAGACATTGATTTCTCTACATTAATCTAATTATTTAATGATTGTTTTTACTTTTTTAAATGTCTCCATTGTATTCCACTTACTATTTCATTAGCAAGAACCACTTTTTCTCCTTGCTTTTCAGCTTTCTCTACTATGAAAAAGATATAATTTGTCAGTGCAAAGGGACTCCTCTCTCAAGCATTGAGTCATTTTGATGTTAAAAACAGATAATTGCAAGTTCCGGAAAACCCACCTGTATTTCAGTATGAATACTCAGAGTGTGTGTGTGTTTGCAATTGTCTGTGATTCGAAGGAGAAGAAGGATCCATGTTAAAGATACTTAAATACTTGACACTGATTATGTGAACTAAAATTCATGGAAGTAAAAAAAAATTAGGAGAGGGTTCCTTCTGAGCTCCTTGACACTTTCAGCTAGCTGCTACAGGCAGCTTTTATAAAGGAATCACCTTTGTGCAGAGTCCTTCCTTGTTTTTTCACCCCTGAGAAGGAATCCCAAGTCTTACATGAAAATGGGTGCCTCTCGGCTGCATTAAAACGGGAAGAGTGCAGGCACATCACCGCTGGTTTTAGCAGGCAGAGCAGACACACGTTAGCTGGTTTCCCCCGACTCGCTCTCCCTCCCAGCCCCTCAGGTGCACACATTCCGAGCTTCCCCAGTCAGGAGGCGGGAGTGGAGAGTTTCAGTGCAGAACGCAGACACCATCTCGGTCGAGCAAGAGAAAGAGAAGAGAGGGAAAGCCCGGAGGGCGGGGGAGAAAGGAAGGAAGGAAGAGGGAGAAGGGAGAGGAAAGAAAGAAACCAGGCGCAGGGAGGGCGGCGCGCAGGCAGGGAGGCGAAGGGGCGCGGAGGCGCGCGGAGGCGGCGCGGGGCCGGGGGGCCGGGGCGCCCGCGGTCGGCCGGGGACGGCAATGAGCCTTCGCCGGCCCTGCCGAGGCTCGCCGAGGCCGCGCGCCGCGCTCCGGGGAGCCCGAGGCTGAGAATCCCAAGAATGTCGGCGGAGCCCCTCCGGGGAGGGTGAGGCGGGGGCTTCTCGCGCACGCACCCCGGCCTGGCCCGGCCCCGCGTGGGGCAGGATTGGGGAGCCCCCGCCGCAGCCTCCAGGCCGCCTGGAGCTGTTGCTGCGCGCCGCGGTGAGCGGG